TTTTAGTCAAATATTTTAATATTTCTATTTTAAAACATTCAACTAAAAAAGTTATAAAGTCTGATTAAGTGATTAAATTTAAACCGCTTATTACAACTTAATAAAAATTGTGTTATCTAAAAATTTTTAAAGTATGTATGTTCTACCTGTAAAAGCTTTTGTATAATTTTTACAATTAATGTTTTTTTAATAAAAAATAAAACTCATTGTGCACATTCTATAATAAATTAAAATTTCAAAAGCGGCCATCTCCTTTGAAGAATATTTTAAGTAAACGTCAAAAAAACATTCTAAACAGTAATGGGTAAAAAATAAATATATTTTGAAAAACTTGCTCATATGGTAACTAAAAATATTTTTTCTACAAAATTTAAGTTTTAATTAAAAAAACATATATTTCAAAAGGGAAATGGGCATTTTAAGTACATTTTTGTACTTAAAACATCAATGGAGATGGCCGTTATTAAAACTAACATAAAACTTTAATGAATTATTTTCCTTGCAAAGCAAAGCCGTTTTTGTTGGGATATAATTTTGCACTAATATACTACGTAATATTTCGATTTTATTAGTGTAAATAACTCATTAAAAAAAAAATTGGAGATGGCCGCTTTTGAAATTAGACGATTCAAATAATAAAAACCATTAAAAGTATTCGAATAAATGTCTGACTAAGTCGCGGTATCGAACTTTAAACTGTACTAACTGCTTGATATTAAATAATATCTTCCTACGAAAAATTTGTGTTTGCAGTGTTGCCGGATTTTGGGCTACAAATAATATCTTCCTACGAAAAATTTGTGTTTGCAGTGTTGCCGGATTTTGGGCTACACAAGAACCGTAATATATCTAGGATTCCTGTTCTAGATACACTTACTACAGCGCGCCACCTACAGTTAAATTCAATGAACAATTTTTATTTAACTATGGCTAAACCGGTAGTTGTTAAGCCCTCCTAAAATTTTAACCTGGGGTTCCCAACACCGTGATTAATCGATTAGCGTTGAAATAACGTCAAACGTTGTTCAGCCCGGGAGTGGGCCACACAAAATCATTTCGGGCTACACAGAGTATAGCTTGTATATAGAATGTGCGGCACTATTTCATGTTTAACTAATGAGCAAAAATCTTTTGGCGTAAAATGCTACATAATATTTCCTAAAAAATTATTTTTCGGAAAATAATGACCTCCACTTTTTCGCAGCCTTCGGGATTATAAGTGTTCTCCTGGTAGCACAAATAAATTATTTGTTTGCCTTATTACCAGGTTAAGAATAGAGCAGTTGTTCAGAATTATGACATGTTTTAAAGAACATTTATGCGTGAAAATCTTTATCAATATTAAACTAAAATATCGACTTCAGTAAAACATTTAAAGCTTAACAGCTTAACCGTAAGAAAAAGGAATAAATTAATTTTCAATATGACACCGCCGCGGCGCCGAAACAGAGGCGAAGTGTTATACCTAAACTTTAGTGGATGAAATATAATTGAATAAAATGGTTAACCATAATATTTTAAATTTTATATACCTACCTATATAATGGAATTTTAAGTGTTAGTATTAGAATTACCTAAAACCCCTTAGTTTTTATGTTATATTTATAATAATATTTTTATTAAAAACGCTTAATCGTAATCGTCAGATGACTTCTAGTACAGTTCCAATTTTTTGTACAAAGTGGTACAACCTAATAAGCTAGATGGTAATTTAAGTTTAATTTGAGGGAAATACAGCGGTGGTACGATTTAGAAGGTGGTTCAATATCGGCTACTTTACTCTATATTTTAATGATATTTATCAAATTAAATTTATATGATTTCTTATCAGTACCTACATTTGTCAGATTAAATCTCTTATTCACGGTTTTGGCTAGGTAAAGCCTTTAAGGCGCTGTTGTACTCCATCTATGATGTTAAAATTCAGTGTTTGCCAACACACATAGAAAAGCCACGTTTTATTGTAGCATAAAATCGTCAGATTATGACGTAGACACAAGTTCAACTAAAAAAGAAAATTTGTAAAATAATGTTTGTTAACCTAATAAACAGGTCAAGATTTGCTAACCTTATAACAACGAAGCCATAATCGTTGTAAGTAATAAAGGAAAACTGTACAAAAAAGTACAGAAGGTAAAGAGTTTTATACTTTTATGTTCTTTGGACTGGAAAAATAAAAAATAAATTATTTTTAATTGGTTAATTGGTTTAGAATTTACACAGGCAATTTATACAACTTAAGAGAAGCTACCTGGAAATTATATTCCAAATCGGAAATTACTAGAAGATTTATAACTATTAAGTTAAAGCATAAATTTATCTTAAGGTTTAAATTTAATACTTTTCACAGTAGAAAAACTCTTTGATGAAAATTATATTAACTACCTACCTAATTTAATAATGAATTTATTCTATAAAAATTAAAATAGGTATAAGACTCTGTACCCAATACGCGTCCTGTCATATATATTTTGTTTAAAATTGCAAATAGAAACTAAAATTGGACTGATATTGTACAGCTCGTGTACCCATATTTCCATAGAGGTGGTTGACTTTAAAACTCAATTTGGTTTCATTTCATTACGTTATTGCGCTTTCTTTTTAATCGACACAAAATAACTTCGCAAAGCGACAGAAAACCTTTTAAATAAACTTTGAAGAACTGAAAACAAGTGATGACCCCCCACGCGGGTGGTGACCGATCTTATTCTCAGGCAATAATTTCTCACTGCAATAATTTTTCATAACCAAAATTACTTTTGAATAAATTATTCGGTCCATAATTTCTTCAGTTAAAATAACTCGAGGAAGGGGTATTTTTGGGCTATAATAATGCATTCACTAACAGCTCCGCCAGCGCTTTTTTAAAGCCGAGTCTAAAGATTTGAGCGAGGTAGTTAATATGCTTTCTCCGCCGTGTTATACATACTCTTTACGTTTGCTTTGCTGATTTCGGCTAAACGCGATAGATGAAACCACTCTTCCTATTTAATTATAATGCATTTTCATACAAATATAAAGTCTTTCTTTATAGGCTTATAAGTAAAAATTGTTAAACGCTTTAAAAAATAATATTTTGTTTTACGTAGTGATTATCTTATTTTCGTAAGTTAAATAAAAGTATAATATTATGTTATTAATTATTAGTTCAAGGATTGTACTTCTCTTTTCGTAGTGATTAAGGTATTTATAAACCCAGATTCCTGAAATTGTTTAGTTTCACAATGGTTTCACATCGTTGTTGGTTATCGATATTTTATTCTATTTCATTACATCTTACTATTTTGTCTTGGGGTTAAAATGCGTGGATGTTTCTTCTTCTTATCACAACGTGTGTGGTGTAAAATTTAACAAAATGAATTAAAGACTACATATGCCAACGATGAAGATATTGCATTAAAATTAAAAATGATAGATACTGTGCTGATCTCAATGTTGAAAAATAAAGAACGTCTAAAACAATTGTTTTAGACGTTCTTTATTTTTCAACATTTAAAGCTTTTTTTAAAAGAAAGCAGCAAGGAAAAATTTAAAAAGACAGCCAAAAGAAAACGGGAAAAACTTCAAAAATTAATCTTTTAAAAGGAAAGTAAAGAACTTTTGGGAAATTTCATAACCATACTCTCTAAAAATGAATTAGTCAAAAATGACTAATTACTACAATTATAATTATTAGTGGCTGCTTTTTCACTTGTACCATGGTTAACCATGGAATACCACGGTATCCCAAAATTTAACAGCCAATTCTTATGTAAAATTGTCCTCTGAATCCGAAAATTCTGTCAAAAATTATAAAAGTAGAGCAGTTTTTGAGATTTAGTCAATTCCTTATTACATGGAAAATTGCGATTGAACCTGTGTTTTGTTCGACTCCATTGATCTCGTTAATCTGCGTGGCGTTTTGGTGGTTGCAAGAGCGGGTTTCCATGCAGTTGGTAGTCTCTGTATATCGTCTCTTGTGTTGAGGTTTCTTGGACGTTTTTCTATTTTAGTGGCTTCAAGGATGGTACGTTTTGTCCTGTGTTCGATGCTAGCCAAGACCCTTGTTTTTTCAAAATCAATTTCATGGGAAGTTTTTCGAACGTGTTCAGCTAAGGAAGATGTATTTTCTTGTTTTAAGACTGCGTTACGATGTTCTTCGCGTCAAACGTTAATACGTCTATTGGTCTGTGACACGTAGCTTCCGTCACAATTCTTACAAGGAATTTCGTAAACCCCTTGTGCCTCTAACTCTATTTTTGGTTTGGCGTTTGTATTTGTATAGTATTTGACCGATCTTTCTTGGGGCGGTAAATATGGTCTCAATGTTGTGTTTTTTTTGAGAACTTTTCCTATTCTTTCGGTTGTCCCTTTGACGTAGGGAAGAAAGACCTTCGAAGTCGGTTTGTTGTTCTCGTCCTCTGTGGTATTTAACCAGTGTCGTGGTCTAAGAGCCTTTTTTTATGGTTTTGGAGAATCCGTTTTGCTGTAGCGTCGTTTGGATTTTTAGGTCTCTGGTTTCTTGTGGTCATCATCGCGTGACAAGTCTCACCACCACCCGTCACAACTGCAGTCCTTTATTAAGACACTTTGTAGTTAAAAATAATATTAACCAAAGACTTTATGTATGAAATCCATAATGAGAGTAACTACCAATTCAAAAAAGTTGGTAAACATTTTATAGGTTAATAAACCACGTTTTTGTGTTTGTCATTTCAATTATTTAAGGAAGTTTAAAAATTTTGTTACACATTGGCTTTAATTTTTTGTACATAGACTTAAGAGGAAAAGAGTTTTTAATATATGTTTTAATGTTTTAATATATGCTTTAATGTTAAGGTGAGGAATAAAATTTGTTGTTTTTTTTTTGTAGATTAAAAAAGTGTACCTGAAGATGCAAGTAGGTTAAATTAAAAAAACTTGCGAAACCGGTCGTACTAATAAATTTGGTTTGAGAGATTGGACTTATATTTTTTCTTCCCCAACTTTTTTGAATTAACCAAAGATTTTGTTTGTTTCAGAAGTCAATTGGGAATAAAAAGAACTGGAACTGAAAGCACTAAATCTTCACCAGGATGTCATAGAAAAGAGCCACAAACTGCCCCTGCCACAGTAAGTCATATAATTTGAAAATATTAATTTTTAAAGTTTTCCATTTGAATTAATTTACATGAGATTAATGATCCATATTTATTATTAGCTATTGGTTAAAATTTAATTAACAAGGTATGATGTAAATAGTAGATGTGATGTATTAAATTGATCAAATGGTCGTGAAATAGGAAGTAAAATATTTAAAAAATTATCAATTATAATAGAATTAATAATATGAAAAACATACAAAAGATTTAATGTAAAATATTAAAACTCATTTGTAAATAATTTTTAAACTTTATAAGGGTATTGAGTGTCAGCAAAACTAAAGGGTATTCCAATAGGATCACCTATATGTTATACTTTAACACCCTGTATTTCAGAGGAATCAAAATACGACTATATTTAACTTTATATAAACCATCGGCTGGTGGACCTGATGATATAAACTGGCCAGCTGGAGCAGTGTGTTTCAAAGTGTGGAGCGCGACCCCCTGATTTTTTTTGCCAAAAAGGCCATAGCCAATAGTACTTATTATTATTATTCTTCTTGTTATTATAATTATTATTATAGTCCAAATTTGGACCAGTCGTTTGCGCATATCTTACCAAAAACGTGGCGAATATTGACTTTTACGTACTGACTACCGATTTATCAGCATAGGCACACCAAAGTCTTGCATAGTCCCCAATAAGTAATCGAGTGGCGTCGAAGGCACTAGTTTATTTTGCATATAATGTTGTCGTTAAATCAATGTCCTCAATAATTTATTGTGCAATATGGCACATGGCGCCAACTCTAAAAAGAATTGTTTTTGAACACGTGTTATTTTTATACATCGTACTCTCTAAAAATGAATTAGTCAAAAATGACTAATTTAATAGTTATTAGTGGCTGCTTTTTCACTTGTACCATGGTTAACCATGGAATACCATGGTATCCCAAATTTTAACAGCCAATTCTTATGTAACATTGTCCCCTGAATCCGAAAATAATCAAAAATTATGAAAGTGGAGCAGTTTTTGAGATATAGTCAATTCCATATTAAATGGAAAATTGACTATATCTCAAAAACTGTTCTACTTTTTTAACTTTTGACGACATTTTCGGATTCAGAGGGCAATTTTACATAAGATTTTGCTGTTAAATTTGGGAATACCATGGTTTCCCAGGGTTAACCATGGTACAAGTGAAAAAGCAGCCACTAATAACTATCAAATTAGTCATTTTTGACTAATTAATTTTTAGAGAGTGTTATTTTTAAATCTTCTAATTATATACACATTTTTTACGTGTTATTAAACAAAAAAACACATGAAAATTTATGATTGTATATTTTTACCTATAGCTCGTATATTATATGTAGTATTTTCCTAAATATTTTTTACGTATTATCAAAAAAAACAACGCTTAAAAGTTCTGATCGTACACATTTCTTAATTTCGAGGAAATATTTTTTTGGAATGAATACACAATTTAAAAAGTTCTTTCTTTATCATCATTGTAACAAAACTGCAGCTTTTAATAAGCAGCTGTTAAACGCATAGGTACCTATGTTATAAACGAGAATAGGGCTGGAAAATGTCAAACATAAAAAAAAACCGTGAAATGATTTGTTGTGTTGTTGGGTATTTTTCGAGAGGAAATCCGTTGAGTTAAGTTTTTACCGGTTTCAAATAAACAGTGGTAATTGGAATGAAGAAATGAATAATTATTGCATACAATTGCTACAAAATATCATTTGTACCTATTGCGCAAGTTTCGTAGCTGTATTAAAAATAACTGAAAGAAGATTCAGCTATAGGTAAATTCAGTAAAATCAGTAAATATATATTGACATAATAATTAAGTATAATTTTTATATTTAATGTTTTTTAATGGAAAATACTTACATGTAAGTATAATATATCATGTTTAATTTACATACTATAATGAATAGTATCAAGTTTGATAAACGCCATTTTATACACGAATTTAATTTAGGCACGAGCGAGCTTGCGAGCGAGTGCTTAAATTAATGAGTGTATAGAAAAGTTTATAAACGAGGTGCATACTATACTTTTTCTACGACAAATACTTATTATTATCTTAAAATGATTTAAATCAAAAATTTGTATAAAGCGCCATCTATGAAACAATAGGGGAATCTGTGTTTCACCGTCAAATGTCAAATTTTTATATTTTATAAACACAGATCGAAATGTATTTCTTGAAAATTGACAGTTTTTCACAGTGAAAGTAAAGAAAATGTTTTATGAGCACTTTACAGTGGAGTCCGTGCCCGAATTTAAGTTATAGTTTACTGCCGGCGAAATTAAAAGGTCAGTACAATGTTTATATAAACTTTTCAATTATTGGCGTTGAGAAAATATTTAATACTTTTGTATTTTTGTATTGAGATAATAAAATAATTTTTACATTTTGTATTATTTTACAAGAATGGCACTTTATTTTAACGATTGTATGACATTTGACAACTGTCAAATAACTTAAAACTAACTTTAGCCCGTGACTAAAAACCTGTTGCTAACTTTAGCCCGTGACTAAAGCGCCATAAAGCCACAACTTGTCAATGTGTATTTAAAAGGTCACTTAGTGTCATGGAAATATGTACGATAAAGGGCGTTTTAAAGGTGGGAGTAGAAAAAATTGTAAAATGATGTACGGTATAATATATTATGATACATTAAATCTATACACATGTAACGAAAATAAAAACAAAATAGGTAATTCTATGTATTGATAATAAAAATAAACACAGAAAAAAACATCAGGTAAAGTAATAATTTGTATTTCTATTTTTATTTCCGACTTCGGATATTGAAAAAACAGTCTTTAATTAATCTATTTTAGAGGAGAAAGAAAAGAAGAAGCCGAAGCGCTAGACGGCAGCACAAACGAAAAACGTTTAACGCGTTGTTACATGCAAAATGTTTAAGGAAAATTATTTCTTACTTCAAATAATTATGGCTGGGACGCTTAGGCCCCTTTTTTCGAAACGCGTTACATAATATCGTCATATTCCTGCCAAAATATATTTGCATTTAAGACTTTCATACCTTAAAGATATATATTAAGCATATATGGTAAATTTGGATATATAAAAAATAGCGTTTAAGATTTTCAAAAATGTTAGTGGCAGAAATATGTCGATATGTATAGGTAATTTTAATTAACAAACGACGTCAATGGTCTGTATTCTTTATGACCTATAACACAGACAAAATAGACTTGCCTTAGGGAGAAAATGATACGGCCGGGCGGGTGCCTGAACGGGTGCCTGTTTTCCAGTTCGCATCATTCATATTTGAGCAGTTGACCTGTGAGGATATATTATTTATGTATAATTCTTTGAACATTATGGGTAAATGTGTTGTCAAAGTGTGTCCTAGTCGTAGTGAAACTAGTTCCAGCCAATTTCAACCAATTTCCTTTTTCCAGTAAGTAGTAATTACGAGATAAATTTTAAGCGATTTTATTAATTTTGCATGTCAATACATTGCGTGCGCACACAGATGTTGTATTGTTCTCTCCTGTGCACAGAGCCGTACTTCGTTTATTCTGGAACGTAAAACTAGATGAATTTCTTTGATAATCCACTAGGAATATTTTAAATTAGATACCGCTCGTACGAAATTATTTAATACGGGCCTGGCAGAATACATATCTTCTCTTATATAATATATAATATAATGTATACATTCCCTTGCCCCCCTTCCCCGATTTATTACACGCTGGTTTCATGTTAGCGATACTGAACAGGGCAAGTCTATTTTGTCTGTGACCTATAATAATAATAATTTGAATGACATGCCAGTGATAAGCCGATTTTAAGAAATAATATTATGGTGGCAGTTTTCTCTCATTCCAATTCTTCCATTCTATTTCAAAATTGTAGGCTTTTTTTTAAGGAGCCAAATATAAAACTTTTTGATTTTAAGGTTATGTTCGTATAACTATTATTTTGTGTTAGGTTTGTTAAAAATGTCCAAACTTAAATATAAATTATATTATAATATAATTTATATTACCTATAGGTAAAGTTATCATTCTGCATTTGATTTTTGGCAAAGTTCATAAGTTACATTTACAATTAAAAACACAATAATTCAACATGATCACTTAAATAAAGCATATGAAAAATATTAAAACGAAATCGAATACCTACTAAACCAAGCAAAGTTTTTAAGTTTTTAGTTACAACGGGTAACACAAACAACGTGCGCGGTTAAGCTGTGCAATTGAAATATTGCGCACAAAATTTGTCGAGTAAGACTTCTGCCTTCCTTTTTTTTGTAAAAACTACTTATTTAATTAAATGTATTAATGACAAACCTTGCAGCCAATAATGCTATCGAACGCCACTTGATGGCGCGCGCGTTGCAAAAACCCGATGCTTCTTTGACGTATGTTAATCCGAATTCTGATTTGCGTCATCTGAGAAGACTTTGGAAAGAAACGTACGCAGACAGAAGGTATTTAATAGAGAAATCTGATGAGAACCTAATTGATAAAATTCCCACAACTGAAAGAACCTTCACTGGTAATTTAAAAAACAATATTTGTTATAATATGAAAAACTAGACAATTACAAACTTAAATACCCTGTATTCTATTTTAATTTAACTTTATCTTACTGTCTAGTTTTTCATCTAATATAATTTTACAATATTATTTTTAGTACTAAAGGCAGTGTTGTAACGTATCTAGTTACAAGTAACTAGATACAGTATCTAGATACTTTTTATGTATCTGTTTGTGTAACTAGTTACAAATTCTAAGTAACTAGGTGTGTTAAGATACAAAGATACATTTTTAATTAAACTGCGACTATTATTTATTAAAAAAAAAATATTATAAAAAATAAGTTATTTTAAATAAAATATTATAAAAAAAAATAAAAATAATAAACATGTATATTTTTGTTGTCACTTTAAAATTCCCTTTTATTTCTATTTTAAATTTTTTAAAGCAAAAAATAATTTGTATGTATCTTAAAGTATCTAGATACTTTTTG